ATATATATTTATATATATACACGTATATATATATATATATATATATGTATATCTATCTATATATATATACATGTTTACGCATGTATAATTATTTGTCTATATCATTCATATATAAGTGTGTATGTCTATATGTATATACAAATCTATGTCATAGGCATGTCTGCATTTAAGTATGCATTTAAGTATGCATATACGGATATATATATATATATATATGTATGTATATGTATATATATATATATTGTATTGATAGATATATACATATATAGATAGTATCTATAACTATATATATATATATATATAATATTAATAGATATATATATATATATACATATATATTATCTATATCTATGTATATATATATATAAATATATATATATATTGTATGTGTTTGTATGCGTGCGTGTGTATATGCGTGTATGTGCGTGTGTATGACAGTGCGTAAGTGTGTGTATGACAGTGTGTGCGTGACAGCATATAATTATATAAATATATATATATATATATATACATACGTATACATATATATATTCATGTACTTGTATATATATCTAACCAACATAGATTGTATTTAATCAACTATAAGCTGCATTAGAAAGGCATTTTAAGTATGATACCAGGGCACTTCATACCATGTCCACAACCCCAAACCACGCCCAACTCATCAATCATATCGTCTTCCATCTAAGAAGCCTGTAAGCTTCATGGAATCTGTCATTGTGAAATTGTAACAACTTATTGCATAGCCTTCTGAAAGGTACATTGTGAAGGGCATGCTCAATATGTTTGACAGGTGTGTCCCCATTATGGCACAAACATTGGCGTATATCCTTCAAACCCCACTGAAACTTATTACAACATGCGATGATGGCCAACCATATATAATTAGCATCCACCTTTTACCATCTTCTTCAGTGCATCCAACCGTCCAATATCCGTATTGGGCCGTATCTGAACACTCTGGTCTGAAAATTAATACCTTTTAATTGGTGTACAATGACATGTTCTCAATTTGAGAAATAAAATTTACCCCATTCCACGCCATTCCGAGGTTCAACCTACACTTAAGCTAAGTGCCACACCTTCCCCGACTGCATCTTCCCGTACTGGCCGGTAGGTGGATGTGTGTGGCTTTGTTCACTACGCGCCGACTTTATACTCTACAGCTGATACAGCTGTGCCCGCCCACTCATGGCCTCTCGCGTAACACTTGTGCGGGTTGTCCTGTTAAACTGACCACAGTCATTCGTTGGGGATTGTTGTACCACCAGTGTATCGGTCAGCCCGTCTCTACGGCTAACATATATAGTTCTCTCGCTCCTGAGAACTATTTTATATCTCCAGCTAACGTGCTATGACGACCTCCACATATCCTTCCGATCTAATGCTTCTATGTGTCAATGCATAAACACTTTTGGTGTTCTTCTGGTGTGATATGACTATCGCTACTGTACAGTCCACACCCTGTATAGTATACTGCATGATACTTGAGCCCATACATACATACATCCCCATGCTATATACTAGATTAAGTGTTTATGTATACATATATGGGACGTTAATTCACCAGTGAACAGATGCATGGTGTCTATGTCCAGGAGTATGGTACCCAAGCACACGAGAACACTGTGTATGTATACAATCTACGTGCATACCCAGTTTACATGCGTGCATTATTCTACATACTCCGGTACAGATGTCTGACAATTACCTTACTACTTACTATTCTAATCTCTGTTGATCTGAACTCTTACTAAGCGCTAAGGATTAAGACTGTGCTATAAAATTAAGGCTGAAGACATCTACTTATCTGCCAAGTGCTCTTCTCTGCTTACTATGTACGCACGTATGTGCTCGCCCAGCTACTTATGCTATATCGCCAGAGAGAGAGCTTCTTCAGTCAAATACACTTATGTCCTCAGTACGACCGCTGTCTATGTTTAACTAAACCTTCACAACACATTATTTGTTCTATAGGCCATTATCCGGTACATTGAAGTTTTCCGGAACATCGGTCATAAACGACACACCATGTGAGTGTAACCATCGCATTGTGGATAAATCATTGACTGTCCATACGAATGCGGGGATGCCTCGCGCTTTCCACTTCTTGATTTCGTCGCGACTGATGGAGTTGACGTCGAGCAGCACACAGTTCACACCCAGGAATAACCTGTGAATTTAAAGCACAAACGCAAAAAGACAGGATGGAAATATGTTTGTGCCCAGGAAGCACATGGGAGCAAACATATGCATGTGATATATATAAATGTATGAATATTTAAAAATACAAAATAAAACAATATTAATGACAAGAACGCCTTACCTCCTGTATTTAGCTCAAAAGTTGAACCCCAGACTGGATCAGATGGCGGCTGGTGCCAAGACGACAAGTGCGAGATATACGTGACAAGCGACATCTGAATATAAGATATGGTACCAATATACACAAGAATATGGTACTAATATACACAAGGATATGGTACTAATATACACGAAGATATGGTACCAATATACACGAAGATATGGTACTAATATACACGAAGATATGGTACCAATATACACGAAGATATGGTACCAATATACACGAAGATATGGTACTAATGTGTGTCGCTAACTTACCATGCCCAATTGTGGAAAGCCCAGCCCCAGACAGCATCAGACAGAGCCAAGACAACCACTTTGAAGAAGTCGAACGCAGTTACAGGCTCCATCTCCAAGAATATGCGCGTGTATGTCAGCCCTGTTAAGATCCTCGGATTCGACTTGCGCACTGCGTAGATGATATCCGGATGGAACGAACACACGGCACACTAAGAAGTAATATATAGGATAGATTAGACGGTTGTATCTCTGCACAGACTTCTGTAGAACAGTATGAGCAGCTAGATATGTAGATCGGATGATAATAAACAGACGATCGGCAGAGCTTACAATGAAGGCTTTAGAATGTTCGGCGCGATTCGGGATACTCCATAGGACAACAGTTGACATCTAGTTTAGTATCTGAATGTGGTCGCGACGCAACATGGATGTGTAACATTCCGTTCTTTACACCATACGTGACACGCAGTCTAACGATGCAGCAACAGTCTCTTCGGAATGTCAGATAGCTCTGACTACATGGCTGCAACACACGCCATTCTGTACCCAATAGCTAGTATGCAAGTTAAGCGAGCCTGGTATATGAATAGATCATTGACAAGCACACGCAAACGATCGACGTGACATACACACATACCATTTCGTACAATGCCGGGTGTTGGTCAAAAAGCTTTGTGATTAATCTCGCCGTCGCCCCGGCATCGCTCTTGCAGTCTATAAACACCTTCAACCCTAATTCCATAGCTAGCAATAGCGCCTCTTCTAAGTCAGGCACTCGCTCTACATGCTTATCTTGCAGGTACGCGTGCTTGATAGCCATTTTCTGTACAGTTTCGTACGTGTGTTGGTCCACACGGCCTGTGTGGTCGGTAGTACGATCTACCAGATCATCATGCATTAACACACCAACGCCATCAGAAGTGAAGGCTAGGTCTAGTTCCACGGCACCGCAACCGGCCTGAAGGAAACAGTTACGGTGACAATGAATTGACCAAAAGAAACCGAAAGAGTGATGATATATGATAATCGATATATATATA